AAGAGTCTGAAACCCAAAAGGAATGTCATTATGTGGGTTCACATTTGCATTTGAACCAATACTGTACATCCGGTTTCAATGAAAAGTACACATTTCAAGTTTGCTCATTCTTCACGTCTAAGTTCAAAGTCCAGCTATCAGGAGATTTCTGTGTTTAATAGTGCCATTTTCAGTTTTGTTAAGACTCTCATTCTGTTCTTGTCCTGAAAGTAGCATGCTGCAGATTGGCAGCAAGCAAATTCAATTTAATTTGGCAAATAATCTTTATAGAAAGGCTATCCCAGCCCTGCGAGTGAGTGCAGTACTGGACTCCTGACCTCAGAACCATGCAACATAATGGGGGAGACTGAAATAAATTTAAATAGCTATAAGACAAGACGAAGCATGATCAATGCACTCAAAATTGGTGGAAACAGCTGCATTCTTGCTGAAGGCCCAGGGAAGGCTTCTCATCACAGAAATGTAACAGTGAAAGAGAACTTAAGTGGTCATGTGGCGGGGGGGGGGGGGGGGGGGGGCGGGGGGGATTCACATCTGGGTTTTATGGAAACTTGTAGAAATACAGATTCATAAGGCATTATTCCAACCTTATGATTCAACCAGAATTTCTAGAGTAACGAGTTTGGAAATCTGGATCTTTCAAAACTCCCAGTGATTATGATGATCAGCTAGGCTTTGGGAACTACTGAGGCGACAAATTCTCTACCCAATGCTAGAATCCCCTGAACAGTGTTCCTTCAGAGTTTTGTTTAATCTCTTCTGGAACAATGCAAGCTCACGATCTCTCAAGGCATCCAGCCCTTAAGAGATGAAGGGTAAGGATATATCAGAAATAATTAGGAAACAGAGGGAGGTAAGTTTGGAGAGGAGACTTGGGGTTTCATGATGGAGTGATTTGAATATCACACTGAAGAATTTCAACTTTATCCTCTCTGAGATGGAGGCCCCTGATAGGATCTTGGTCGTCACTGGGTTTAAAAGCCTGTTGAAGCACAAAGGGAATGGAAGTTTAACTCAGGAGTTCAAGTGACCCAAATAAGGACTTTAGGTCAGAAGCAGCAGGAACAGCAATGTGGAGGGAAGTCTAAGCTGTACTGCAGTTCAGCCCTACAAAGCTTGACTGATTGGGGACAAGGAAGGGTCAAAGCTGATTCCGGGGTTTTGAGGTCCTAGAGTGCTGAAAACGTGAAGAATGGGAACTGCAGGATCAAGAGCAGGTTAAGAAGACAGATGGCTGCCCTGGCTGGTGTGACTCAGTAGGTTAGAACGTCGGCCCACACATAAAGGGTCCCAGGTTTGATTCCTGGTCAAGGGCACGTACTTGGGTTGAGGGTTCACTCCCAGCCTATGTGGGAGGCAACTAGTTGATGTGTCTCTCACATCTCTCTCTCTCTCTTTCCCTCCTTCTCCTCCACTCTCTGCAATGGAAAATATATCCTCAGGTGAGGAATAACAACAACAACAACAAAAGACAGATGGTCAATCAGGCTTTTGACATTGGTAATGCATTGGTTTCCATCACCATGCATCCTCCTGTCACCTGTGTCAGAGCAGAGCTTAGTTATGACCCCCTTGTGAAATAAGAGATGGGCCCTCAAAATGTCTGTTGACTTAAAATAGTCCTTCTCCTCTCAGGATCCTCTCTGCTTGAATTTAGGAGCTTATTATTTCTCACTTAAATAAACATAAGCCTGAGGACTGCCCCACTCATGCTGCTATCTTTGTGTGAATTAGAACAGTACCCTTTTTGAGTTTATAAATTAGAAAAAGTGGCTTTTGTTTGGGTGGAGGCAGCCCTTTGTTCAGGGCTTGGGCCACAGAGCACACCTTTGTGGGACAATGAAAACTCCCCTTCCTGTAGGATGAACTCCCTGTCCAGTATAGAGGGCTCAGGGAGCTGAGTGCAGGGGTGGGGGACCCCACTTGCTGCCTCAGCTGGTACACACACCCCTGGATTGGTTTCCCAGATGGTCTCTTTGATCCCCCTTGCCATTTCTATTTTACACAGAGTGATTTTTTTTTTCTAAAATAAAATTATATCTCATTCTGCCTCAAACTTTTCCATGTTCTCCCAATGTCTTCAGGATAAAGTTCCAATTCTTAACTAGTAACAGAAGTCCATTCGCGACAGCTTCCCACCCTCTTCCTGGGCCATTCTCCTCACCGTCCTCCTCTCCACTCACAGATACCTGGATGAGAAATGCACGAAGAAATGCTTGCTGGACCAGGCTGCGTTTTCTCACTCCCTGCCAGGCAAGCACTGTCCCTCCCACTCCCCCAAAGGCCAGATGGCTTCTGGCTTTTCTGAGGTTTACTTGACTCATCTCAAGGAAGCTGCCCTAGTCCTAATAGCAGTCTGCATGGGATCCGCCCCCGGGTGCCCTTCTTCCTGCACAGCCACCTGGAGCCAACACTTCCCTGGCTCTGACCTCCTGGAGGACTGAGAATATGGTCTGCTCCTGTCTTTTCCCTCAGCACCGTTATGCAGGGACCTGGCTCATCCTTGTTGAAATGGACAATGATTTAGAAACAAATGAAAAGTACAGAGTTTAACACCACCTCACACCAAACAAACAAAATAACAACAAAAAACCCAAAATCAAAAAAAGGTTTTGCTGCTTTCTAAACAGAAGATATTCTGTCAGTTGTTGAAGCCATTTTATTTTCCCTACTTTTCTGTAGTCTTAAAAGGGGTGTACATTTAGAGACTAATGATCTTTGGAAAGGTAACTGCTTGAATGAAGTCTGAGGCTTCCATTTCAAGGCTGGTTTGCTCAGGTGTGTCTGTGTATTTGACCTTTGTGAGATGCTTTAAAATATTGCCCATAGATTCAGGGAACATACTTGATCTCTTTCAAAACATGCCAGCTTTGAAGATGGAGGACTCTTGCCGTTGCTCTAAGATGGCAATGCCATCAGTGGTATCTCTGATGGTGTTCCAGCTGCTAGACCAGCCCAATGATGAACTTCATTCCATGTGTTCCAGCTGCTAGACCAGCCCAATGATGAATTTTGAAACACTTCCCTAATCTATCCAAAGGTTCCAGGAACTTTCAAGTCAATTTGCATTTATTTTTCTGTGTGCAGTCCCTGTCTTACCACAAAGAATGTGAAGAGGCTGTGAGAATGTGTTCAATGAAAAACAAACAATTAAATGTAAAGTATTACTTAAACTTCAACAAAAATTACAAGGAGGCAAAATATGACAGTCGGAGCTGAAACCAATTTGGCTCAGTGGATAGAGCGTCGGCTTGCGGACTGAGGGGTCCCAGGTTCGATTCCGGTTAGGGGCATGTACCTGGGTTGCGGGCACATCCCCGGTGGGGGATGTGCAGGAGGCAGCTGATCGATGTCTCTCTCATCGATGTTTCTAGCTCTCTATCTCTCTCCCTTCCTCTCTGTAAAAAATCAATAAAATATATTTAAAAAAAAAATGACAGTCGGAGACTGAGATATGGGAGATGAGAGCTGTGTCTTAGATGTGCCCGCCCAAATGTTGATATAGTTGACACTGTGCTTCCTTGGGATAACATCCAAATGGAAATCATTCTGTAGCACAATTCTCACTGTCTATAAGGAAATATGGTCGTTGCCAAATTTCCTTCATAGAAGCTATGTTAACAGTGAAAAGAGATGCTGCTCAAGCATGAGTCTGCACTTTGTAAATGTGTTTTTATTTTTTTTCAACCTTTGGCCATCATTTAAAAATATTTTCTTTGGTTTTTAGCACTAATAGTTTTCACTTTTTTTTCAGCTGGTTTTCATCAGTTTCCAATAGCATCTTAGCTTTAAAGAATTTTTTTTTTTTTGCTGTGATTCTTTTAGTGTTTTAAAATAAATGCATAAGTACTTATCAACTTTAATATTTACTATCACTATTAATAATTACACAAAAATTGAGCTCTATGCACTGACTTTTATTTCATTTCCCCCCTTCACACCCTGCATATTACACATACTTTGCTCATGGGAATGATCATTTTGAGGTAAGTTTGATTTTTAGTTTTGGCTGGGCATCTATGATACAGTGTCTCAGTTCCCTTATCTTTCAGGCAAAAACTTGAACTTCTGAAAACCAGTGCGTCCTCCAAATGCAAGGCATAATGTTTATCATGAGGGTATTAAATCATATTTTAATTGATTAATACTATAATAATAAATAAATGCACTTTTCTTTTCCCACAAGCTCTCTTTGGAATATGTCTCCTATCCATTTTCTATAAGACTAAATGCCTAAAACAACTCCTATTGTTGATTATAAAAATATTCCTCCTCCCTTCTTTCTTTAAACAGCTGTTTAGTGACTAATGGGGAGCTCAGAGGGACACATTTGTCCCAGAAGAGAGAATTCTGTCTTAATCAGCCCCTCCCCATCATCCTTTGTCATCCAGGACAGCACTAGGCTTATTACTATGTACTCAGTAAATATTTGTCAGTTTGAACTTGATATTATAAATGATTTTGCCATTTATTTCAGTGGTAAAGGGTAAGTAGTGTCTGCCAATTGATAGAATACTCTTATTTTCCAAGTTCCGAGTCCACCCTTGACTTCAAAGAAAGGAGCAACCTTCAAAGCTTTTTTTCTGAGTCCGTTCATTCATTTGTGCACATCTCAGGAGAAAGTAAAATGGACAGAAGGGGGGAAAATCAGGATACTCTTCTGCTTCTTTTCTGCTTTGCTTAACATTAACCATCTAAGTGTTTGCTAACTTCACCTGAAAGGATCAAATGAGAAGAAGACCACAGAAGCTCACTACATGCTAGCTTATTTATTACACTGTAATGGAATACAATTAGAGGATCTTACTCCTTTATTTCTACATGATCCCCCATCCTATTTTCTTCTTTTCTCTTTTTTTTCACTTTGAGAAGGATTTGTGTGTGCTTCTCCCTAAAATCTGTAGAATGGTTTCAAAGCTTAGTTTCCAGCATTTTCCTTAAGTATTTTCTGTGATTTAAGGCACCTGGGGGGAGGGATAGACGAGCTTCCACATCAACGGATGATGCTTCTTATCTTTATAAGTGACCCACAGTTTGGTTACTGGTGCAATGAGAAATTAAGAAAAGTGCACATGTCAATGACTGCCATTTCACAGTCACTCAAATCAGAACTGGGATGCCACAAAAACAACTCCCTGTTAGCCCAGAGAAGAAAAAAAGAAGAAAGAAAGTAAAGGGGAAATTCAGATTAGTCACAAAGAAGTTCCCCGCCTGCTGCAAAGCGGCAGTGTTAAAACTGAAGAGAGTCCGCTCTGCTCTTTCAATTGCCTCTTATCTCTGGTCCTGCCACCTCTGTGGATTTGCTGATTGATACGCCTGGTTTTATCTTCAGCTCCTTCTTGGCAGGGGAGACATCAGTTCTCTCTCAGATCTCCCTTTGGCCCAGTTTTCATCTTTGCTGCATCCAGACTGTGAAGATGGAAGGGGTTCAGCCCCTGGATGAGAATGTGAGAAACGCGCCAGGTCTGAGATTCCAGACACACAAGCTCATGCTGGTGGCCTCTGTGGTCCAGGGGCTGGGGCTGCTCCTGTGTCTCACCTACATCTGCCTGCACTTTTATGCTCCTCAGGTAAGATGCACACCCAGCACCTTGTTGCCACCAGCTCACGCTGATGGCAGCTCCAATAGCTGCAAAGGGTCACTTGGAAAGAATCTGATAACCAAATTGTCCAGGTGTTTGTTTTTTTCTTCCCCCCCTAGCAATTTTAAAGTGTGGTTAAACACCCTCTGGTCTCCTTTTTCCTTCCCTTTTCTCAGTAGTGGCAATGGTGGGGCGCAGTGGAGGTAGGGCAGGGGCGCTGCTTCTGGATTATTCTCTTTTTCTTGGCAATGCAGGAATACTGGTATTTTTTTATGAGCCGTCACTTTGAAGCTTCGAGTCATTGATACAGCTGGTTTACCTATTTTCTTAGTGTCTGATCAGGGAATTAATATAAAAAGGAAATAAAATGAGCTCAGTTCCACTTTGCCATTGTATTCATAAAACCCACAGACACTCGTGGACATTTGCTCCTGCTTTGCAAAGAATGCTGAAGGTATCAATAGTAAGTTCTTTTAAATAGCTAATAGTTCTTTTAAAGGCAGAGATGTGTGTGTTCCGTGCATCCGCGCACATGGCCAAACATTTACTCCAACAACTTACCCTGATATTCTCACAGCTTTTCTCTACCAATTACAACGTACAGACATCACTTTGTCTATTTTATACTTTATCCAATATATTATGTGGTGGGTGCATCTTTCTTGTATTTCCCCCACCTAATGAAGATATTCCTTGCAATCTCCCTTCTCTTTATTCTGATCCCCTTTACATTTCTTTTTTCTTATGTATTTGTTCAGACCTGCAAACATTATTCAGTCTTTAAGGATGTTCTTGACTGCTGGCAACTCCACTGAAAATAAATGTACAGTCTGCCCGTGTTCCCTTGTTGAGGCTAGTCTGATCATACTATTTCCCTGGCGGGTTGCTTGAGTTTAGAAAAGTCTGTCCCTGGTAAAGATTAGACAATAGGAACTTTTATTTCTGATGGACAGGTCAGAGTCTGAGTATCTCAAACAAAACTAGGATAAGACCAGTGGAGTCCTGGCAGACGCCTGGGCTTGCCTCTGCCCACCGGAAACAGGGGTTTTCAGTGCAGAGAGGCTGGTGAGAGTGTGGTTGTGATCACTGTACTGCAAAGAGGGCTCACATCCCCCGATTCCAGAAATGTAGCAGGTGTCATGCTCAAGTCTGCAGACTGGCAAGCAGAACACCACACTCACCCTCTCCTCATCATGCCTTTCTTTCTCTCTGCAGAACCCTTTGGGTGCAATTAGAATAGGCAATTTGGGTCGCGAGTGTGGGGGTGGTGCAATGTGTCCATGGCAGGGTGCCTAAGACGCAGACCGGAATTAGGCTCTTCCGAGAAGAAAACAAAGAGCGTAACCAAAAATAGAACAGCTGAGTGCATGCAACAGGTCTGGGAGCCCTGAGAGTGCTTTTTCAAATAACCACAGTGTCACAGACACTGTGACGATGAAAAGACAGGACAGATGGCTCCAGTCAAGACTCAACTAGGGCTGTGAGTAGGAGAGAGCCAAAGGTGAAATGGATGCATATAGCCCGCTGGTGGCAGAGTGGCCCTGGACTAGAAATACCCAGGGGATGCTGAGAAGGAGAGGGGTCTTTTCTGCCAAGTCACCCAGCAGCTCTGTGATCGAGCGTGGAAGGAAAGCTGAGTGCTGGTTTCCAGGACACTAGAATTCATGGGGAGCATTCTTTGATCCTGGTGCAGAAATGGAAGCAAAGACATAGGAGGTACAGTAGAGCTGGTGGCTCAAGAAACTTACTCTCATATACTCTGGATACGGAATTTTTTGGCACAGACTTGACATGAATTTTAATTTTTTCTTATTTATAGCTAGACTGTTTTAGCTAACATAAATATCTCATACTGGTATAAGATGCAGTGCAATGGATCCTTACATTTAATCTCATATACTTTATTGGGGGGGGATAGCACAAATAGATCATATATATTTCTCCCTGGAACTTGATGAAATGGTGGTGGTGGCAGTGTGTGTGTGTGTGTGTGTGTGTGTGTGTGTGTGTGTGAAAGAGAGAGAGAGAGAGCGACATTGAGAGAGAAGGGTGTAGAGTAGCTGTTGAAAAAGGGACACTTTCTAAACTCATTGATAAAATTGTTTGGAATTTTGGTTGAAGCATTGGCTAGATGATGATGCAAAAACCCTCTACTTTTATAAAACAATATTGCAGTGATCTGTAATATTGCAATGAATTTCCATTTGGGTGTTATCTCAAGTGAGCCGAGTACTCATCATTCACCCAGTTAAGTTGGATTTTTTTTTTTTTGTAGGAAAAACATACTTGGAGAATAATAATAATGTCCCTCATATTTTAGATTTAATTTTTAGCCTTATGAAATAATTGATTATATGAAAGGCTCTGTAAAACACAGATGTAGCTATTAAATTCCTTGGGCAATTAACTTTCCCCTCATCATTCCATGACATTAGGTTGATTTCTGTGCACAGCACAAGTTCTCATTTTGGAATGTCAGAAAAATAAAAGACTTTTCCCTCTCATATAAGTCACTTCCCTCTTTGGGCTTTGATTTTCTCATGTGTAAGCAATTGGATCAGAAAAATCTCTTCCAGCTCAATATTCTATGAATATGAACTTTATACATATATTCAGAGAATGGAATGAGATTTTGAGAAATACAAAATATAAGTTAGTAGATTTTTGTGTCTAAGATGAATTTCCTGGTTCTTAAGAAGGGGTGGAAGGAAATCAAATTTGCATATATATTTGTAATTTATGCTTATTTATATACTATGTACATATCTAAATAACCTGTTATGTGTTAGCAAAATATCCTATTTAGAAGGAGGAAAGAAGTGGATGCTAGAAGAATATCTATGGTACAAATTATAAAACTGAGTGCTTCTGTCACCAAAAACAATACATGCTCTTTGGATAATTATTTAAAGTATTAGGCTTCTAGTTTTACCTATTACTTAGCTTGAAACAATGGCAAAAAAGTAGCTCAACTTACAAATATAACTTACACATTTATATATATAATTTTTATAAATATAATTTATAAATTTTATTTGTGTATCTCTGGATTATTGAAGCCAGGCTCTTCCAAGATTTGTATCACCCTCATCATGGCAATTTATAGATGTGAGGCTTTTAGTGTTAATTCTTTAGCAAATTTCAGTTGAAGGTTTATATTCTCAACACTTTTACTGCCGGGTAAAACAGAAGTAGAGGAAACTGTAAAGTGAGCTGACCAGATCTGATTAGAATTCAGTTTCTTGATGAAGGCTATAACTTGGACTTTTTTTTGTATTGTTATGGGAGAAAAAAGAAGCTTTTTTTAGCCTGAAAAATCTTGTCTCAGATTAACTCAGTTTAAATGTATCCCCATGTAATCTAACAAGAGTTTTAGAAATTCCTTTTTGAAAAAAAAAAAAAAGGCCAGACATGCAAATAAATGATTTTCAATGCAAATGAATTTACATTTCATAAGCGATTCCATGGTAATAACAAAGAAACATCTGAAGTATTGAACTGATTTGTCATTAAGTATTTGGAAGCTCTAAAGGGGGTACTAATAATAATGTATAGAATCATTGCATTTTTGAGCGGGCATTACACATAGTCTACTTACAGTTAAGAAAACCAGAGAGGGTAAGAGCTGGGAAGGAGGTAATGCTATAGCTGATATTAAAAGGAAGAGTAAAAAGTCTTTAAGTAGATAAGAAGGATGGTAGTGGTTGGGAAGAGGGTGGAAGGTTTTCTAGGTACTTGTTCAGTTGATTGTTCAAAATGGTTGAAGTTGAGTGTTCCTAGGCCAAAATGGTGGAAGGTAAAGCTTGAAAGGGCTGTGATTCATGCTAGGGAACACACTTCCTTCCATTACATGAAAAAAAAAAAACACACCAAAAAACAAAACAAAACAAAAAAACAGGAAAAATTACCCAAACTGCTGCTTCTCCAAATTTCGCTTCTGTTCTGTGGTGAACATATTTCTATAGATAGAAAGTGAGTCTAGCCCTGACTGATTTGGCTCAGTGGATAGCGCCTCAGCCTGTGGACTGAAGGGTCCTGGGTTCGATTCTGGCCAAGGGCACATGCCTGGGTTGCGGGCTCGATCCCCAGTAGGGGGTGTGCAGGAGGCAGCCAATCAATGATTCTCTCTCATCATTGATGTTTCTATCTCTCTCTCCCTCTCCTTGCCTCTTTAAAATCAATAAAATATATTTTTAAAAAAGAAAGTGAGTCTAATCTCATGCAGCACTAGGGGGCGCTATAATAAAACTAACCATTCTCAGATGGTTTAATGAAGCCTACGCTCTTTTCTTAAGGAGTCAAGATAAGAAAACCTTTTTTGAGAAGCCAAATACTCAACAGGTATAAGAGGAAGAACAAGGGAGGCCTCATCTGATACTTTATAAATGAAAAATTTTGATACAGTACTGACCCAAGTTGAAAATAGGATAGAAAAATTTGTACTGGGATCATGCTGGAAATGTCACGTGTCCGAGTATGGAAACACACATACACACACACGAGTTCCAGATGTAGATTTAGGGATATGGTCTCCCGATTCCACTTCTCTGACTTTAGCCCCTCGTTATAGGCACAGAGTAGACCCAGTCCTGCCTCGGGGCTAATCACCTGCCCTTCCAATCCTATTTCTTTTAATAGAAATTACTTCTGTGTCTACTTTCAGAGAACCTGTACTCTCCACTCACGTCAGGGATTCTGTCTGCATCCATGGAAAATTAACATTAACCTTCTGGAATAATTTAGGTGAGAAGAGCCATGTACAGTGTTGTTATGAGTGAAAATAACTGACTTACAAAAGGTTATTTCACATCAATGGTCACAAATGGAACATATGGTGGCATTAGGATGAAAGAGAATTCCATACCATCCTACGGCTTGTGTATTTTGTTTGTAGCCACTCATACTTTCAATATCCATATCTTTTTAAATGAAGGAATCAACACACTTCCTTACAAAAAATACAAAACATCTCCAAGTTTAGAGCAAGT